AGAAGGACTGGACTTTATTTCCACAGGGGGGCTACAGGTTTAGTATTGTACAGTGGATGGTGTGTTAGGTTGAGGCACTTCCTTCTCATGAGAATGCAAGATCAGGATCTCAAAGAAACCTGGGACAGCATGAGTTAGTGGTTATAAACACAGATTCTGAAGCCAGACTGCCTGGGTCCAAATCCTGTTCCAACACTTGTTAGCTGTGTGACCCAGGCAGCCTGCTTAACCTCTATGAGCCTTCATTTCTTCTTTATGTAAGAAATGTGAATAATGAGAGTACCTACCTTATAGATTTGTTGTAAGTGCTAAGATGCATAATAAATACAAAGCACTAGAACAGAGCCTAAGAAATATAAATGAATATGCATGTTTGTTCAATAAAATACATAGAAGAGGAGGGTGAAAAAGTTGTCAATTTAGTAAAATATTTACTGGATATCTACTTGTTCCAGATACTGTGCTATCCAAGGTTTAACGTGGGAAAGTCTGGCTTTGAAAGGAGGCAAAATTGAACTCTAATTTTAACTCAACCCTAGCGTATGAGCTAGGTGACCTGGGGGCATTGTTCTTAATCTCTCTGAGCCTCTGTTTCCTCATATGTAAAATGGGGATAATAATAGCAGGGGGCTTCACACAGGATTATTGTTAAGAGTAAATGAGATAGTGCCCATAGGTATGACATGCAGAAAGACGCTCACTAAGTTGTAATACATGACTTCAGTGAGTTGAGACCTATAAAATTAAACCTCACAGGAATAAATATCAAGTTTTACATTTTAATTAAAAATTCAGTTTCAGAATAACGTATCGCTTGCACAAGGAAAGGACAAGAAAGGATTAAATTGGCAAGAGCTTGTGTGAAAAAGAGCTGTGGGTTTTAGTTGACCACAAGTTTCCTATGAGCCAACAATGCTATCTGGCTGTCCAAGGACTAATGTAATTTTAGATGGCACTAATAGGAATAGTGCGTTGAGATCCCGGAAAGTAATCATTCCCCATTCTCTGTACTCTGTGCGGACCAGACTGCTGCAGATGTACAGGACTGTATTCTGCTTGCGATGTTTCTGGATGACCAATGACAAACTCATTGACAAACTATCCAGGAGTAGTGACCTGGGTGGGGAAGCATTGGCAAACTCTTTCTTGAGGATGAGATAAAAATAACGTGGGAAGGGAAACACTAGGGCAATATTTGAAACAATTCTTTCTTCTCAAGAAAATGTTTGCAGAACACACCCCACATCCGATCTGTCAGCAAATCCTGTTCTTTCTTTCCTCAAATTATTCAATGATCTGGCCATTTCTCATTGCCTCTTTTTCTTCTTTTTTAATTATAAAGATGTGGGGTACAATTCAAGGTTAGGTATACAAACATTGATCATGCAGGTACCCTTGTTGATGAGGTATGCCCCTCCCTCCCCTAGCAGTTTCCCTCAACTGCCTATCTATCCTACACCCCTCCCCTAAGAGTTTCCCATTACTGCCAGTTGCTTTCTTATAGTATTATAATTGTTCAAAGTCTGCTTATGAGTGAGAACATAAGGTACTCTGTTCTTTGTTTCTGTGATAGATCACTGAGTATGATCGACTACAAATCCACCCAAGTTGCTGCTAAGTCCATATGTTTGTTCTTCTTTATGGCTACATAATATTCCATTGTGCCTCTTTTGCTACCATCCTGACCTAATCCAACCTGTTGTGCCAGGACTATTATAGTAGCCTCCTAGTAGATTTTTCTGTTTTCACTCTGCACCTCTCAGTCTGCTCTCCACACAGAGAACTGGAAGGCTCTATTTAAATATAACTCCAGTGGCTTCTTATTTCATTCAGTGTGTAAGTCGAGTCCTTACAAAGACCTACCAGGTTTTTCCTGGCCTGCTTCCCATGACCCCTCTGACTTTATTTCCTTCTTTCCTTGCTTCCTTGTTCCAGCCACACTAGTCTACTCACAGTTCTCAAACCAACCAGATGTTCTCCACCTTATGGCTTTTGCACCTGTTGCCCTTGACCAGAACCCAGTTTGCCCAGATATCTGTACATCTTGCTGCTTCAGGTCCTTCAAATCATAACTCAAATGTCACCTTCCCAGTGAGGTCTTCTCAACCGTGGGTTTAACACCACAACTATCTCCCCCAAAACCACGTTGTATCACCTTTCTCTGCTTTATTTTTCATTACAGTATTTATTATCTAATATTTAATATACTTTGTTACCTATTAAATTAATGATATGTTTCACACACTAGAAGGGCAACAATTGTCTGCCTCTCTTACTACCGTATCCAGTGTCTACAAGGTTGTCTGGGATATAGAAGGCAGTCAATAAATATTGGTATGGTAAGTCAATATAGAAAATATGTAAAAGAGTTGCTTTGGTTACATCTGGCAGGGGTGGGGTAGGCATATACTCGGTCATCTCCAGAACCCAAATAATTGAAAGTTAGCTACACAAATACATTTGCACACAAATGTTGGCCAAATTCGGAAAGCATCATGGCATGAGATCTATAGAACTCAGAGAGGACCACTCCCATTTCCCCAACTTTGGAGGACAACTACGTGTAAGAAGTAGATTTCACCTGCATTGCAACTTGAGTCAGAACTAGAGCCAGTGAGTATGAAGAGAACACATACAGTTAGATATGGGATCAAGAGAACAACTTGAGATGCTCAGGTTATCTCATGAAGTGATGAGCTTCCTATCCCTGCAGGTGGACAAGAAGAGGCTGTATGTCTTCCTGACAGCTTTGCTGTAAAGGAGATTCTGCACTGGGTGGAGGATATGACCATCCTTCCTTGACAATCTTTGTAATTCTAAGATGCTGGGGCCAAAGTGTGTGAGCCCAAGGATCAGGGATAATATATGTTTTTTACAACTTGGGAGAGGTCTTCGGCCTTTCTTCCTAGAGTCCTAGAGACAAATTTGCCTCTCAAAAGTTCATTCCATCCTAATTGAGATTCCGTTTCCCAGAAATTACCTGATGCTGGGCTGATGATTAGAGGCCAGCCAGGGGTAAAGGGACTGATTCCCATGGCAACCAGGTTGATAAAACATACCATGTGGAGAATTGCCAGCAACAAGCTACGTTTGCATTATAAATAGATATTTAATTCATTGAGATAGTTTGTGACGACTTCTGCATTATAAATAGGTACTTAATTCATTGAGATAGCTCCAAAGAGTAGGAAAGTTAAATCCCAAAACCACTCTTTGTCTTTAAGTATTTCACAGTTAATTGACAACTATTTTTTTCCTTCCAAAACATGTACAACTTGGCTTTCTAAATGGAAGAACAGTAGATGTGTTTTTAGAAAACCTGCTCACAGTCCAGTGTCACAATATTTCTCACTATTTGTTTCTCATTGAAGGCTTTATGAGAATTTTCTCTGAGTACATGCATATCTCTGATTCCTTTTGACACAGGAGACCCTAGGTTCAATGTCTGGGTTTCACAAGAGTCTTTTACTGTCATGCTTGTCTCATCTTCATCCTGTTTTTCTAACTCAGAATCTTTTTGAAATTTCAGTCCTTGGCCCTCTGCTCTTTTTCTTCCCATTTCTCTTTTCTTTGGTGAACAGCTAAGATCACTTGCTAACTTGCACAGTCCTACCATTAGCCTTAACAATATATGCTTTGAAACATCCAAAGATTGGAAAACAATCAGACTTGATCAAAGGACTTTGATCCTAAAACCAAGGACCAAGCATGAACCTCCTTCTAGCGTTCAAAATGTACAGCTTGATTGAGGATTAGGAATGGAAAGTTTGAGGGCAAAAAGTGGTGTTCAGCAGAAAGCAACTATTAGGTTTGGCTAAATTTGAATGCAAAAGTACTTTTGAAATGCAATTTTTAGAAACACTATAAGAAATTAGTATAAGCGACTAATAGAATCTCATCAAATGGAAATCAGAGTGGGACTTTGTACTTCTACATTCCAAAGAGCTCAATACAAATTAGACTATAATACTCAGTGTTTCATTCGTATGGATTAAGGGAAATGGGATGCATTTTTTCATTAACTTGCTGGGTAAATAAGCTTCCTAATGCAAGACTATAGGAGTTACTTTCTAAACTGTATTGTAACCAGGGATAAATGACTCACCGGTACAGCACCCTTGTACATTCTCGATTGAACAGTGTTAGTTTAGAATTAAATAGTGTTGGGAGGCAAGGAACTTTAGGGTCAGATTTCAAGGGGTGATGACTTCCTTTAGAACCTCTAGGTCAATTCTTCTGAGATCTTGAACAAGGTTCAAGAATTTAGGTAAGCTTCCTTCTTCAGTCCAAGTGGCCTAATGTGTACTGAATTCCCACCCATGGGGTAAGTGGCCTGCTGATTCATGGAGAAAGGTCAGGGACTGAGAATGAGAGCCAGCCCCCATTTGGGGTACTGGAAGGGGACAGGTAGATCCCCTGCTCCAAACCACCTACTTCATCTGCTTACTCTCTCCCCGAAATCTCACCATTAGACATTCATTCCTTTGGGGAAATGGGTCTCTCTTTAGGGAGGGGCAAAATATTTGCTTTGATCAATCATTCATACATAAGAGTGAATTAATTTACACTCTGTGGTTGCTAGGTAGGGGCCACAGAGTATATTTTCCCAGTTTCAAAGTTCTGCAGAGGGTCAATCTTGCTGTTTGAAAGTAGGTATACTATGGATTCAAAAGTAACGGGGTGACAATGATATAATTTCAGTGCTTTTCCTCTTTAGGCTCAACTTGGAGAATTCATTAGCATTCGATCATTCATTCATTCATTTAATAATGGGATGGTAGGACAAAAGAACATTTTGTTTAGTGACCATATTTCAAAACAAACTAAAAAGTAGTTATTTTGGAGTCCTCCATCCTCCCACAGCCCAGCCTTGAACTCCTTTCTCTGTACTAGTAGGCTGTGCTCTCTTATTCTGCCATGGAGGTCAGCTTCAATAAACCATTTCTGCCCCGTTGTTAGTGGACAACAGACCAATAGAAGACCACTCCCATAGTTTTTACAGTTAAATAATGAATGACTCTTTATTCAGAAGGATACATTTTAATAGAATTTCATGCACCAGTAAATCAGTACAATGAGGAGTTATAGGGGTGGGGAACCTCTCTTCAGGAAACATCTCATCCTGGGAGAGTTCTCAACTCTCAGAATTCCCTTGACCTAGTTCAGGTGATTAGAGGGCAAGGAGCAGTAGATGGGACTGACTCTCAGGGTAATCAGTGAAATTTACAGGTCTCAGGGTAAAAGAGAGGAGAGGAAAGCTTTTGTAAAGGAGGATGACATTATATCGGGACTGGCAGTTCCACAGAGATTCCCTGGGAGGTTGATGAGGGAGAACTTGTGGTGGTGGTAGCTGGTTCTTCTTCTTCTTGGTTACACTCTTCAAGGACTATGGTCTGGTCTCTTCCCTCTGTCTCTGAGCCCCTGTACATAAATAGATATAGATATAGACATAGATATAGATATGACTAAGGGAGGACAGCTTCAGATGATAGGTGATCATTTAGATCATTGTTTTTTCCAGCAACCCTTGGTTCTCAGAAGCTGGCTGCAAAGAGGCATTTACCTAGTTCGGAGTCGAGGCCACTTCTTCCATTCTATGGCTAACACTATGCCCAAGGCCACAACAACCACCACAATCAGGCTGCTTCGGACAATGTTCCCCACAGTGCACTCCTGAGCAACAGGCCCTGTATTGATAAAAGAACAGAAGCCAAGACCATGGAGGTTAGTATGTGTATGTTCCCCTCGATCTCATGTCACCCCATCAGTCTAGCCTCCTCTAGGGTTCATGCGGGAGCCATATGTTCACACTGCAGAGTAGGGGGGCAGTGGCAGAGCTTATGCAGAAGCATCCCTTCTTTCCTTGGGGGAAGGAGGCCGTGAAAGAATCCTACTTACTATCTTTGAGTGATTCTGAGATCCCACCTCCTTACCATCCTTAGGATGACAGGATGACACACATGAGGTCTTTGACTTCAAAGACTCTCCGCTCTCCTGATTTGGGTTGTCTCCGTGGGGAATGTCCCTGAGATCTCAGGTATGCCATGCCAGGATCATAGAAGTATTATACCCTTACCTGCTGCCCCTACCAGCTCCAGGGGATCACTAGGTTCTGACCAGATATCAGGGTAGCTCTGGAGGCGGTAGCTGCAGCTGTAGTTTCCAATGCCTTTTCCTTCTATATTGTTGATGACAAAGTCCCCATCCTCTGAGAACTGCTGAGGTGCCTCTTCTCCATCATGTTCTAGAACAAATTCAACACCTGGCAGGGGTCCTCGGCACTGAAGGGTGATATCCTTTCCTAGCTTGAACACAGTGCTGGGCCAGGCTGACAGAGAGGGTTTAGGGGGCTTATCTGCAACCAACAAAGACACAGAGTTAAAAGAAGTGGTCCTGAGTCCAGCCCTTTACCCCTTTATTGCTAACTGCTGAAAATGACAAAATCTAGACTCTTAGTAAAGTCTTCAGGACCTTACCAGTCACCCAGATCTGCAGGGAGTCACTGTGATTTGAAGCTGCAAAGGGAGCAGAGTCCAAATAATACACACAGCTATAGATCCCAGAATCTTCACCTCTCACTGCTGGCATCCAGAAGTCAGCCCTGTACCCACTTGGCCTCTGTTTCTCTAAGGGCTCTTGAGTCCCCTCCTTCATCAGGACAAATGTTGAGTCTGGAAATTTTCCTTGACAATGAAGAGTCATATTTTCTCCAGGGGCCACCATGGGACCAGGCTGGGCTAATAGGCTGGGTTTGGGGAGCAAGCCTGGAAGAAAATAAGAACTCTGGGTCAGCGAGAAGAGGCCACTTTCTAAAGTATCACCCCTGGAATCTCTGTTTAATAAGGAGATGAGACTACTGTTTGCCTCTCCTTGAGCTCTTTTAAAAAGATCTCCCATAAATCAGTCTATTCTTTTCTTTCTACACTTCTATGCCCACTTCAGAACATCCTCCCCTTACCTGTGACTATGAGTTCCAGAGTGTTGCTAAGCTGTATCTTGATTGAGCTGGTCCAGTCAGGGTGGTAGCAGCAGCTGTAACGTCCTATGCTAGTACCAGATATATTGGTGATGGGGAATGCCCCGTCATTACTGGTAGATCCCCAGAGCTGCACTGAAGTGACTTCTCCTTCCTTGTGCAGAATGTACCCTACTCCATGGACTGGCCCTCGGCACCAGAGAGTAACATTCTGCCCCATGGAAACCACAGAACTGGGTTCAGCAAACAACCATGGCCTGGGGAATATGTCTAGAAAGAGACCAAAGATGTAAAGTAGTGAGTAAAGTTTTCATTTCCTGCCTGAATTAATCATTTATCTTTTTTCCTCTTGGACACAATAGCTCCCCCCGTGGCCTATCCCAGTCTTCCAGCAGGGATTACCCTCCCTAATCCCTACTTCAGTGGTCTCTATCCAAGTCCTATATTCTTACCTGTCACCCAGATCATAAGGGGCATACTGCGATATGACCCCCTATTTGACATGGTTGTCTCATAGTAGATACAGGTATAGTTCCCAGAGTCCTTTGCTCCGACAGTGTGGAGGAGGAAGTCAGCTGAATTTCCTGAAGCACTCTGGACCTGTAAGGGAACCTGGGTTCCCTCCTGCAAGAGGGCGAACCTCATGCCCTGGAAAGTCCCTTGGCAGCGCAGAGTCACATTCTTCCCAGGAAACACCACAGGACCTGGCTGTGCCAGGAGAGTAGGTTTGGGGTAGAATTCTGAAATTAAAGAGACCATAGCATGAGAGAAGCCCACCCCTACATTCTGCAAATAGCAGAATATATTCTTATACAATATAAGAAACAACATATGCTTATTGTAGAAAATTTTAAAATATGGAAAAAACTCGTGAAAGAAAACACAATTCAACCATGCAAAGATAACTATTGTTTATATTTCTTTTCCATTTATTATTTCTATACATGCCCATGTCCATGTAGCTATAACTGTGTACATAACTGGGTTACACAGTTGTGTATTCTGATTTTTTCACTTAACTTTATATTGTAACTTTTTCCTATGATGTTAAACAACCTTTGAAAATTATCATTTGTAATGGCTGCATAATATCCAGTTGACATTTCAAGGTCTTCTCCCTTTTTCTGAGGGCCATCCAGCCCACCAATCTCTGACAGCCCAGCTAAAGAAAAAGTGGGTGCTGAGCCTAAAGCTCAAGGCTAAGCCACCAAAAGATTTCAGGAATAGGGCAATGTGAACTTGGCCGTTGGGTTTGGAAACCCCAATCTGCCTCACTTCACTCCCCAAAAGTGAATTACTTGCCTCTCCCCTCTCCTTTGTGTCTTCTTCCTGTAATAATAACATGAGCAGCTGTCCTACACGGACTGTTCACTATATGCCAGTTACTGTCCTAAGCACTTTCTCAGTGTGTTTTAGAAGGAGTATTTCTTCCTCTCCCACTGACAGCCCTTTCATCCACTGTGCCAGGGTCATCACCGTCTCCACCTAGACTCCCCCTCCTAACCTGTCACCACGAGCTCCACAGGGTCACTGGGCTCAGACCAAATGGCAAGGTCATAATAACGACAGCTGTAATTTCCTCCATCACCAATGCCCACAGAAATGATCAGAAAGTGAGCTGCACTGGCCCCGGGGCTTGCCCATGATCTGTCAATGGATGCTATTTCACTTCCATCTTTGTAAAGAATAAAACTCATGTGTTGGTGGGAGGTGGAGCAATTGAAAGTCACTCGGGCACCAGGGGTGACCACAGGGCTGGCCCATGTCCTGAAGAAGGGCTTAGGGTACATTTCTAGAAGGCAAAACACAAAACACAACATGGAACCAAATTAAGAAAAAGAAAAGTACAAAGCAAACATCACAAACATCGGTTCTAGGAAGCTGCTCTGCTTTCTATAACATTTCATTCAGAAGTAAATACATTTAAAAATCAAGGTAAATCCACATTGCAAATGGACTTTTCACATAGGGACCCCTCAACCCCACCCCTCACCACTTCCAGATAAGTCCTCACTGTCATCAGGGCAGGAAACGGAGGCTAGCGAAAAGAGGGAATTTTCATTGGGGCTCTGCTGCTTGCTTCTCTGAGCCTCAGTTTGCCCATTTCGACGGGGGGCGGGGGGAATGGTACCTGCTTCACTTCCCTTGAAGAGTTGCTCTATAGCTAAATGAGATAATTGATGTGAAAATAATTAGAAAAATTAAATCACCCTCCACAAACCCAAGCTATTAATAACGATTATGGCTATTAATATCGTGCAGCCAGAGGCCCTGGCACTCCCAGCGCCACGCCTGCCTGGCTCTAAGATTGGACACAGGCTCCTAGGACCAGCAGCAAACTTTGCTGCAGGGAGAGGAGTGTCTGACCCAAAGTTTTGCCTCCCCCTCCTTCCTCACACACCCTTTTCAGCTCTACCTTTTATGACAAGCTCCAGGGGCTCGCTGGGCTGGGACCACTTGAAGGGGCGCTTTTCAGTGTGAGTGCGGCAGCTGTAATTGCCTTCGTCTTTATCCTCCATTCTTTGGATTGTAAAGAAGGCTTCTCTCCCAGCGGCACCAAGTTGCTGGACAGGTTCTTGCTCTCCCTCCTTATACAGAGCAAATCCCATGCCTGCCAGCCATCCTTTGCAACGGATTTGCAGTTTCTGACCCCGGATTGGAGGGGAAGCAGAAATGACAGGTTTGGGGAGAATGTCTGGAAAACAAAATGGGGTGGAAAAGGAGTCAGAAATTTGGAGGTGCTCAGATGGGACACTCGGTGTCACTTTGTTGGCAAATAAAAAAATCCATTTTGGGCTAGCCCTTGACTCTTCCTGTCAGTCTCCTCACACTCTCTTCCCCACCGCCCCGCCCCCATTTCAGTGTCCCTCCTCTCCTACTTGCAGCACAAGCCTCTTGGGCTCCAGGACTCTGCATTCATTCCCCCACTTCCAGGAATATGTTGGAGTCCAGGGGCACTGAGGATCACTCCGGGAGGACCCTATGCCTTTACTTACCTGTTCCCACCAGCTCAAGTGCCTCACTGGGCTCCGACACAGCCATCTCCTCCCATGAATGGCAGTGGTAGCTCCCGGTGTGGCTCTGGGTCAGGGCGCCAAGGGGGAAGGCAGCCCGGACCTGCTCTGAGGCAGGGCGAGTTGCAATCCACCCAGTCCCATCCTTCAGCAACACAAACTCCTTAGTTGAGCCAGAAGGGCTTCTGCACCAGAGTGTTAAGTTCTTCCACGGGGCCAGAGGGAAGTTGGTCTCTGCCCACAGCTCAGGCTTAGGGGTTGGCATGATAATTTCTAGAAACAGCAGAATTAATGAAGCCATCCTCTCTCCCTTTTCCCCTCCCCTCTCCTTGCCCTTGCACCCCCTACCCAGATTACACTGCCCACCTCCCCTCTCAATCCAAATCCAAACCCTTTCCTTCCTTCCTTTCTTCCTTCCTCAGGTGCTGGGGAAAGGGGAAGCTGATGTCTCAGCTGAGCCTCAGAAAAGTGCAGGAACTTGGAGGAAATTTTGCAGGCTTAGAAAGGCAGAGTAGCAGACTGAATTTTGCCAGCAGCTTTAACAAGTGCCCCTTCCCGGCTGTCTTTCTCTCCCAACCAGTCGCTCCCTGGCCACTGACACTGACACTCTGTAGTTATTTCGGATCTCCAGGGAGGAATGTCCCAGTCTGGAGCAGGAAAAACTCACCAGTCTCTTCTGTCAATACCCCATTGCACAGTCCTGCAAAAGAAATTGCTGCCATGGCTCAGCCCCTTCCCCCCAGGACTTCACCCAGACCTCCTGCCTAGGCCCCTTCCCCACCCCCTTGTACTCACCACAGCAGAGAAGGGCCGTGATTATGAAGAGCATGGTGACCCCTTGAGCTGTTCCCAGCAACCAGGCTTCTCTAGTGAGACCAGAAAAGAGATGAGAGGAGTTGCTGGGATTAGGGGGAGGGCGGAGAGAAGGGGGCGGCAATTTATGTCATTGGTTTACTCATTACCCAATAGGGACTGGATATGGCCAGAATAATGGGATATAATCTTTTCTGACATCGATGACTTTTCTTTTGAGGGCCTCACCACCTACAAACCTCTTGCTCTTTCATGACCCACATGCCCCCCTGCCCTTCCCCCTTCCCCAGCCTATATCATATGTCAGCTCCCCATGGCCCTGATTAGGCTGTTGCTGGAATTGAGATGTCAGATGTGAAAATGCCTTTGTATTATCTCCAGCTCTCAGAACCCTTGGAACTCAGTGTGATAGGCAGCTCTGGATGGTGGGTGTGGGGATGGAAGGAGAAAACTTGAGTATTTCTTTGTCATCAAGTTTAAGTTTGGAGGCAGTTGTTATTATGGCAGCATTGGTCCTCAGACTGACCTGCTTCACCAGTCTTTCTTAAGAAAGGGTTGCCTAGGCAGCTGCAATGAATTACTAGAAGATTGTCAGTGCTGAGCTAAGCCTGTCAAAGGGTGGGAACCCTCTCCCCCTTCCCAGATTATGATTAGAAATGTGATGTGCAGCAACTTTGGGTTATTGGTCCAGCAGAATTAGATGATATTAAGCCAAAATTCATTTGACAATTTTTTACTTGGGAAACACTGACCATCCTTTCTGGTCAGGGAAACATGTTTTTCAAGCTGCTTTCTCTGAAATCTGGTTTCTGATCTTATTCTTTGATGCAATGGTCCTGGGCTCAGGTGGGGCACATAAAGCTATATTTTTTCTAACCCTTGACTTGGAGGTTACCCTAATGTGTATGAGACTCGGGACAGATTCTGGGAAAAACAAGAACTTGACCTCCACAGAACCTTTTTGAAAATTCAAAAGGTAGTGGTTTCTGCA